ACTTCCGTAGAGTTCTCTGTTTTCCTATTCTTTCTAATACCTCTTCATTTCTAACCCTCTCTATCCATGGTATCCTCATCATTCGCCGGTAACACCACTTTTCGAAAGCTTCTAACCTTTTCTTTTCCACGTCTAGGTTTCGCACCCGTACAGCGCCGCGCTCCAAACATATACTTTTAACAATATTTTTCGGATTTCTAAATTAATCGTTCGCGAGCATAGAGGTGACTTCTTTTTATTGAAGGCCATTCGACCCTGCGCTATTATCTGCTTTATATCCCTGCTACTCTTATAATCTTTCGTCTCCTATCTTTATATTCACTCTTTCCCTATTTTTTCTGCCCTTGCATATCAGTATTTAGTTTACTTTTATTTGTTTTCATACTATTATTAATTACTAATTCGAATAGTTTTCATCGATGTCTAACATTCATTAATTGATTTAAAAGAATCGATTTACCCAAATTAGTTGCTATCGTGTACAAAGCACTCACTTTATTTACTTGCATTGTTTTATCCCTACTGGGGGCATTAATTCCCATTTCATGGACGCTATGTGCCCATCTACAGGATTCGTTATCATCATTATCATCATGCCTGGATATGTCGACCTGTTTCTGCTTCTTATGTGCTTATAACTACCCGTTCACCTTCTCATTTCTAATCCTTTTCGTTATATATCCTGTAGTCTTATAATTAGATAATTATTTTATCCTCTCGTCTAAGAACTTCACAATTAATATCCGTTTTATATTATCCTTTTCAGGAGTTCGAAATTATACGCCTTCAGTGATACAAAAAAAGACATAGGGTACCCTTTTCTCCAGAAGGAAAGATGCTGTTCCAGAGAGATAGAAATATTAGTTTTATGTCCTTGATTTCACACCTTAACTACTCAATCGATCTTAATGAAATTTTGTAGACACATAATAATGATGATGGTAATTTTAGTGATACTCAAGTGCCGTGAGAAAAACTTAAAAATCCTCGTGTGCATTACTGTCACAGCGTAAGCAGAATGTGATTTAAGCTGTTACAAGAGAGAGAGCACGCCGATTATTATTAATATTGTACGACGACGAGAGTAAGGTGCATGCATGGTATTTTTTCAGCGTTTGGCCAAAGCTGACATATCATGGGGCTCGGGTTACGCCGTTTTCCCGTGGCGTATCGATTGCCTAACAGCCCCACGGATCCACGGGGCCACCCGTAAGCCACCTGACTAAATACACCTTCTCTCCTGTTTTTATTCTCCATCTGCATACGACCTATATGCGTGCATATTGTACGAGGTGTGGCTATTAAGTTCCCAGAACGTTATTGCAAACAATATCCACCGATAAAAGTTTGAAGTCTTTTTTTACGTTTTGTTCGTGTAAGATTTTTAGTGACATCGCAAAAAATAAACGACTCAAATAACAAACAACGTATTCTACTGTTCGTTTCAAGAAGTTGGAGATATGCCCCTTCCTTTTATTAGGACGCGCCGTAGCATAATTCCAAATTCAATCATATTTGTCTCCGTAGCTCATTTCTTCACCGATCATCGAGTGAGAGCTAGACAAAAGTGTACAGTACCATTTGCAAAATTATTAAAAATGCCTCGTTAAAATTTAAGAACATGCTTTATTTAAAAGCATATTTAGCCAAAAATAATAACAAGTGAATTAACTTAACGCTCTACACACCTATAAAACTTTTGCTTTGTTTTGTAATGTTAATTTATATACATTTTTGTTTTAAGAAATTGCTAAACATTTTCGTCTAGTACTGTACATTTCTAGCTGATCTTCTAAGAGCGCCCATCGAGAGCTCTGCTCGTTAAAGCTTGTTTCAACTATTTCTGTCTTGCTCACGCCTAGTGTGTATTCTTTCTATCTTCGCGCAGATTTCTTCAAGGTTACAATTCAAACAAATTGAAACGGGCAGTAATACAAATTTTAGTGAAATCTGCAGAAAAAACATCGGATATCTTCTACGAATTGGATATGTTTATGGAGGAGTCTTTGTCTAAAACTCCTGCATCAGAGTTGGTACAAGTGAAGGACTAGCGGCCAAAGAAAGTAAAGACGTTCGATATTCCGCGTCTTGAAGCGACTCAAGGTACGCATTTTCCAACGTTTAACAACGTACCAACGTAGGGTTGCTATCCGTCCGGGTTTCCCCGGATTTGTCCTAGTTTAGAGGGCATCCGGGGAGCATCCGGGGGGGGGGCTTCATTTGTATTTCTGGTTTAAAAATTTAAAGTCTTGGGCCGCCCGCCACACACGTAAAAGAAATCTAACTGATTATTAAAACAATTTGTAACAAACTGTAATAAGATTCTGTTTTGTTAGGTACATTGAAAATGATGATAAAGAATGACTAAATTTAATTTTAAGGTCTGAAAATAAATAAAAGGGTGATTTATGACATTTTCAACTGTTTTTTGTTACACTGACTATGTTTAAAAAAACCTGTTGACATGTCCGGATTCTGGACTCTAAAATCCGGGGTTTTCACGCGTCTTGCCCTGGTTTCCAAATTTTAGAGATGGCAACCCTATACCAACGCATTTTTCTTCGATTTTTCGCAAGTATTTGACCAAAATAGAGTCTCTATGTTGCCGCATCTCCTTTACAGGCCGGATTTAACCCCGTGCGACTTTTTTCACTTTCCAAAAATGATATCCCATATTGAGGCGCGTTTCCAGGGGTGGCCGATAGTGAAGTACCACGGCACTTAATTGTCACACCACGTATACCTTTTGTTGTCCGTAAAAGGGTAACAACAACGAGAACGGTGCAACTCATTGAACCGAAAGACCGGCATCGCATATTATAAGATCCGAATTGACTGACTCTGACCGGCTTTATACCCGATAAATTTCGTTCATTGATTAATTTTTCGGCCCTGGAACGGCTCATACGGATCTCGTCTACTATTGCAACAAACCGAACATCATGTGGGAAAATTCTTTGCTTGGTCGGGGTCGGGTAAAGTGTTTCAAACAATTTCGCATTTTCAGTTTTTCCAGAGTTGCTGTCGCTCGACTGTAACTATTTCGATTATATGAAGTTTTATTTACTTTTCAGATGTATTAACAAAGCTATCCCATTAATCATTAGTTTCATGTCATCTTTTGGGAATAGGCTATGCCTCTATGTAAAAATTAAACGTAAAAACATCTAAATTTATTAGTTTACATTAATTTAGTCGACATTTTGGTGGTAGCTGTAGGAATAAGGTTCTTATTGGACAATCCGTTGCAAGCCAATGCATTAAAACCAAAGGACAATTCAAATGTTATATATAACTTAATATATCCACTATCAAACTAACAATTAATATCAATAAAACGTCAACAGTTTCTATTCCTTTGTCTTTAGAATAGTAAGAATCAGAGACAACTTTTTATTTTTCCTGCAATTTTTATAAAATTCTATATTTCTTCCAATTATTTTAGACCAATTGAAGAGCCCAATTTGACGAAAATAAGCTCGAAAGTTAGTTCCATCCGTAAATTATACGATAAGGTTCCGAAAACTTTAACGATTCAACCTGATCATACCAAAATTAATACGATAAGAGTAACTGAAATCATCTTAATTTAAAGCACACTCGCCAAAATCTTTCATGAAGATTTTTTGAAGTTGTTAATTGTCCTGGTTTAGTTCAAGGATTACGCTAGATGGAACACATCTGGAAGTCAAAACATATCAAGATACTAAATAAAAACAAAATGAATAATTCTGATAAAAATATTGTGTAAAATTAGTTAGAAATTTAACTGTGACTTATGTACAATATAATCATTTGTTCTTTTATAGATTCTGTATGTATGTCCGTCTGTCATAGTCAATTTGCCCCGAATCTACTGGATCGATTAAGTTAAAATTTAGATCACGTATGAATTTTTGTGGCCTAAACGCGGAAGAATAACGTAAATAAATTAATTTTGAACTTGGGGGTCATTTTTTGGGGGGTCAAAAGGAAGTTAATAAAAAAGTTTTGCAAACTGTACCGTCTGACACAATTAAATGAAAGGGCTTATTGTATAAGGGTCTCAAATATATTTCTTTTATAATCTTAAAAGAAATCGTTTTAAAGTTATTTAAGAAAATATGTGCAAATCGACCATTCCACACCCCTTATCTCCGAAACTACTGAACTTAAAATTTTGAAAAAAAAAATACAGAATATAGTTCATTACTTGCAAATTACAGGAAAATTAATAGGAAGTCTATGATTTGAATGTAACGTTTTGACAAACAACAACTGATAAATTTACATTTGCAGTTTTAATGTATGGAAAAACATTTTTTTTTCAACTACAATATTAAGTTGGGTTTCGGGTTAGGGTTCCGTACTCACTCGTACGTCTGTCTGTCCGGCTTTTATTAAAATACATACAAAGTTTATTACAATTACGTCTATTTTTACTTCAATTGTTCGTAAATCGGATAGAACAACAATCCTAAATTTTAAAAACTAATTAAAACGTGTAACCAGTCGGTAACGTTTTCCTGAAGAAGCTAATAATCGTAGGCGAAACGTTGAAGTATTACAGTAATAAATTATGTATGTTGCGGTGTTACTGTATACCTTCTGGTAGTAGAATTTGCAAATATAAGAGGATAAAAAAGGCTTGAAGAAATTGATCTTCCATAATTACATGTGACACTCGTTGAGGGGTGGAGCAGTTGGTTTGGGGTGATCGGTCACTCATCACTTGACTGTAGAAAACAGTTTCTCACCACCACTCACACCACCCACTATCCATCTACATACATACATAATAACGTCAATTAGGTACTCGGACCTGCGGATTCACAAGTGCTGCGCGAAATATTTTTAATTAGCACTTAGTCTAATTAATTACTAACAAAAGAAAAAAAACGAATTGTGATACAAATTAATAACGGGATGTATCAAGGAAATTTTTGTTTGTGCAATAATGTAAATAAATAAATAAATAATAATGTTGATATTAAATAATAATGTATTGTTCAGTGATTCTTTGTGTGGATCTATTTTGAAGTTTCAATACCTAGAGTTAAAAAAAATTGGAGCAAAAATGTGATAATCAAAGGGACTAACTAAACCTCAAAGAAGAAAGTAAGTTGTTTTTTTATGGTACCTATTAGTATTAAAAAAGTATCAAGGAACTTGGATGAAATAAACTGCCAAAATTAACAATTGTCTTTTTTAGTAATTGTTTTTAATTTTAATGATCAATGTCGTCCAAGTTTCTCCACAATTAATTACGTATTTATTTATCATGCGCTCAATTAGTATTTAATTTATAAATTAATTATTAATTTTTTGTATCACAGTAGCCTCATATGTATTAGTTGTAAATGTTTTAAAACGCAATAGGCTTTGTTAAATTGTCTAAATACTGGGATTATTGTTATTGTTGTATTATTACGTTATTCTATAAGGACCACAGAATCGTAACGTAAAAAAATTGAAGACATTGAATATGATGTACCTTTAGGTTGACAGAGCAAATTTTCTCCCTGATTCCCGTCGGATAATAGTAGGGACTTTTTTCACTATTAACAAATTTTAAATTTCAAATATTCGTAATGAATTAAGTTGTTTTCAACTTTTATTTCAAAAGGTATGCAATATCATAGATACCTTTAGAAATGTATTGTATTATTTTAGTTTTGACTAGATTAGACGCAAAAAAATTACCACTTAATTAGTCGTTAGGTACTTGACATACCGTCATTTATATGCACGTTCAATTCGCTGTTTAATAAACCAATATTTTGAAAAAAACATTATCAAAATACATTTAGAGCCATACGTATTAGAAACAATCAAATTTTTTGCTCGCGTTAAATATGGGGAATTTTTGAACACTTAATTTCCCTGTTGCGATTATGTATTTTTTTTATTCCTTACAGATTTTTAAAGAATACATTACAATAAAATATATGGTGCCTTAAGGCCTCATTTCAATACGATTTTATTTAAAAACGTGAGGATAATATAACACTTGCTTATATGATCATTTCGTTATATATTACAAAATCCAAAAATAACAAAAAAAGTTTAGTTACCAACAGTCCTACAGATGTTGCATAATTTTTATTTCGCACGCGTTTATTTGATCTTATTTCCTTTTCTTAATGGAAGGTAACAAAACGTAACATGTGATCACGTAGCATTGTAGGGATTCTGTAATTTTGGGGTAGGACGTGGAATACTTTCGAATTAAATGTTAAACATAATCACATACAAAACGGAGGTGTGGGGAATTCCCGAAATTATATTTCAATTCATTTAATAGGCAGGTATTGTCTAAATAATTATTTTATTTGTTAAAAAAGACTATAGTAGAAAGAAGTATTGGATTGTTTATTAATTACATGGATAATTAATTGAGACTTGCCTTTATGGAAGGATGAAGGTGTAATAATAAATATTAATAACATCAAAACAGTCTAAAAGGAAATGGATATTTTAAAAGTTTGTCTAATAAATACAATTGTTAGTAAAAGAATTTTGTTTTTCATGTTTT